TCGGTTAATGATGTAAGATATACCATTTAGAAATAATATAAGTTGTTTTGCAGGTGAAGAATACTAGGAGTATGGGTAGTAAAATTATTTTCGATAATAGTTACGGGCAATACTTTCTTTCATACTGTTTTTTATTTGCTGTATGTTTTTGAAATTAAGGTTGTTCTACAGAAATTTACACAAAAGGAATCTCGTCACCTTCAATACCCCATCTCCAAGATAAAAAAAAGTGGTATAGGCCTACACCAAAAGACACAACAAATTAAAAAAAATCATGACAAACAGAGGTTGACAAACATTCAATACGCAATCACATCTATATAACTTCATATATTAAATAGTCCCGTGTAGGATAAATATATTCTAGTATTTCAGAGGTGGTTAAGAATCAGTTATGCATATCACTTGACAAAGATAAAACAAAAGCTCTTGTAAAATTCTTAGCAATGCGTATATTATCTTCATTTTTTAACAATAAGAAATGTAAAAAAAAATATATTTTAAGTTAAAAGTTGTATTTTTAAATAATGTTGTATTAAAAACATAGTTTATAACAATCTTAGAGCAATCATTTTTATAAAATTACTTTTACATCGCTTTTTCTAATTACGGCTAAATTGAAGCGGGAAAAATTATGGACGGCGGCAAAGCGCTGTTCTACAGAGAGGCACAAGTTTCACAATGTCACAAATAAGAAACGTCAAGTTGCTTTTTGGCGCGACAAAGCAAGAAATAAACTCGGCAGCAAGAGGGAATGGACATGAAGACTCTGCGGTCACCATTTACCGTCCGCTAGTTGCATCTGATTTGAAAAAAAAATTAATTATAATAGTAATTTGATGGACTTTATTACATACCACATATACAGCAAAAGTAGAATGGTAACAATATACATCAAGTTCTATTAGATTACACAAGTTTCAGAAAGTATCATAGTGCATATAAATACACATAAACGTTAATTCTCGCGATGGTACCTGATTCGCATTTTCGGAAGAAACCACTAAGCATTTGATTGCATATCTTGGGGTATCATTTTGTGCGCTCATATAGTTGGTCGAAATATGTGCGAGGGGACCATGTACTAAGCAAACGTCACCACAAAAACTTGATCAGAGCCAATTGGAAGATTTGTTTAACAAGCCTTACAAGGTAACAATAATCCTTTGAATTAGTCCCGGTTTACTTTTTAATCAAATGCAGGACAAGCACAAGAAATTAAGAGTACCGACACGAAACATGGAAAATAGATAAGGGGAAAAAACACGAAGCACGCACATCGAGCCAAACACGAGAAAACGAGAAATAAAACGTCAAAACACGAAAACACGTAAAATAAAAAGGCCGAAAACGTCACACGAAAATAACCCTTTACCACCCTCTTTAAAGACAACAGGAAACAATTTGATATTCTTTTTACAACCTTGCATTTTATTGTTGTGATTAAACATTAGTGTTCCAATTTATTTTGTGTTGTTGAATGTTGGATAATCTTACGTTGAGTTCCGTTTATCGATCGATTTATCTTCCTTATCCATCAAAAAAGAACATTGTTTCTGAAATGTCGTTGTTAAAAAAAATCAGCGCATCTGGTTTGCATTTGATTGATTGATTGTTGGATATTAAAAGTTCAGTGGCAAGTATTATATGCATATCACGGCGAGATTAGCATTTGATAAAGAATTGAAAAGTGATTGAGATGACAAATATTTAATATGTTTCATTTATTATATCCACACGTCTGTCTGATAACCCAGCACAAAGTTCATCAAAACACAAGAAAATTGCCATCTTTAGTGACAGTTCAACAAACCAATTACTCTAAATGTTTCCAATTCTTTTATTACATGTTCTACGTACACATGCCTGCTCTTTTGCAGTCTGTTAAATTTTCCTAGATTTGTTTTACCTCGTTTTTGCGCAGACTTTTTACCTTTGATCTGAGCCTAGATAAGTTTTCAGAAAGATTCCAAGCCCCTCCCATCCCAAAGTTCTACATTTACCCTCTTTCATATACATGTATGTACTAAAAAATTCGATATGACGTCATGTTTATCAAAGTCACTTGAACGATTACTGTCCTTGGTCTAAATATTTCATATTCTTCACCAAAATTCATTGATAAATTAGATTTACTACTGTCTTGATTGAATCGTTAATTGCATATTATATCATTATATATATCAAGTCAATATAATATGTCTACACCTCAAAATGGTTTTAAAAAACCCTGCATGTACATGTTTATGTAAAAGACATTTCTAAGGGAAGTGAACAACCGATAGTCCAATATTATTGAACTCTTTGGGTGATTTTTATTCGTTCGTAAGATGTTGAGAAACATCTAATATAACGATCATTCGGGTACCCAATAAAATAAAACAAAATTTCTAATGAATAAAATGCAGGCAACTTGACAACATTGTACAGACACATTTCTACTGTTGAAGCCTGTTATAAAGGTCAACATATATTTTTTCCTGTTAATAGAGGTTGTCTGGAAATTTTGTTATAAACAATGGTATGCTATCAGTTCCGGTTGAATTAAATATTATCTTTTGTCAGGAACAAATACTGTTACTACAGTAATAGTTCTTCCAGTGGAAACAACTCTTTTCCATGATATACGGTCATATCTCCTTTGATTCATTATATTTTTAGCTTTAATCTTACTTGATAAGTTATTTATCAGTGCGACCGACGTGACACATTTTGTAGGACGAAAGCATTTTTATATCGCTTACAACTCAGTGTTAAATTTGCATTCAGCACTTTTTTAAAACATGAGCAGAATAGTTTGCGCCACGATATTAGGATCAGATATGGATAGCTAACATGTACAAGCTAAAAAAAAAATTTAAGTTATATGTTTAATGTTTAGAGGATTTTTGGTTATATAGAGATATTTCTAGGTACACCATAGAGGTCTACGACTAAAAAAAAACATAACTGTTCTCCGTTATTGTTTAAAGCTCCAAAATATGTCGCAAAATACATGCATATGAGTATGAAGTCCTTCCAGAAATCGTAACGTCACAATATCGGAAGAATATTATCTTATATGACATTAGAAATTTTATAAATAAACGTAAAAAAAAAACGTAGGATTTTTTTTAGTTATATGATACTCGACGTGACATTTAGTCAATTATCAAGCAAAAGCACCTATTCGAATCTGTTCAAAATCGGATGGAAAATCGTATCGTGTGAACAGAACGCTGTACGATTTACCTGATCGACGGTATCAAATCGGATGTAAAATCGAATGGAAAATCGTACCGTGTAAATGCACTTTAAGACTAGTTTGCCGATCATTTATTTTAAAAAGAGAGCTTGAAATATGAATTGTATGAAAAATTGCATTGTAAACGCTCTCAAGCCTACATTTATAGAAGAATTTTATGAAATTTATATCAAAAGTTTATATTAGCAATGTCTCGTGAAAAGTTGATCAATAATATTAAAAAAAGTTTTGCCCCTTGTAAACATTAATTGTATGGAGTATTGCATTGTTTCTAGGAATATTATCTACGAAAATACATCTTTGATTGCATTTTGCTGGTTTTGCTCACATTATCTATGACTATCATGTTTTTAATGTTATTAAATATTTACTTTTTATTATTTCAACTAAGAAATTTGAATATCGAACAGACTGCTAGCAGCCGGTTGATATTGAATATCAAATAACGAATAGGCCACTAATAAGAAAAACAAAATGACGATAAAAACAAATACTCCCAGCCCCCCTCCCCCAAAGAAAAAACAAACAAAAAACATCAATAACAACTAAAAAAAACAACACACAACCAAAAATTTATTTAAACTTAACTAGAAAATAAAATTATAAAATTAATCCGCGAAGAAATGCAAACAAGCTTTCAAAGCACTGTTATGAACGAAAAATAAATAAACAAGCTTTCAATGCACTTTACGAACAAAAAATAAATAAACAAGCTTTCAAAATACGTTTCCTTAGAGGTTGGACTATTCGGATAAATCTTTACTGGTGATACCGTGTAGGTAGAAGGAAATCACAGCCTCCTCCACTAATAAATAGATGAAATGTATTGTGTACGTCTTCTATTTATTTTTCAAAACGACGAATTTATTTCAAAGCTATACCCTGTTCATTCTTTTTTTACCAAAAAACGACTTTTTCTTTTCTCGATAAAATTTTTTAATATGTTTCTTATTAAGAATCCTGGAGCTACCCTTGTTTTAGATAATTTATATATGTAAAATTGAGAATGGAAATGGGAAATGTGTCAAAGAGACAACAACCCGACCATAGAGCAGACAACAGCCGAAGGCCACCAATGGGTCTTCAATGCAGCGAGAAACTCCCGCACCCGGAGGCGTCCTTCAGCTGGCCCCTTAACATGTATATATAGTATCTCTAGCTAGATTACTGATATATTCGCAAATAGACTAGTATTGTCTGGCCATAAGAAGTCGAGACCGTTTTATCAATTAATGGCCTGGTGCTTTATCTCCCTCTTCTAGAGAATTTCATGTTTTGTTGCACGATTTAAAATATATATATATTATAAACAAGTCTAAATTGAAAACAACGTTCAACCTATGATTGCGTTGGATAAAAACCGCAATTTTTATACGTGTGCATGCAAAACAAATTTCTTGGTAGAGGGGTCTAAATACAGCACAAACAACATTTTCCAAAAGACCTACAAAGACCTTTTTCGGTCTTTTGGAAAATGTTGTTTATATATATATTATAAATATATATATTTTAAATCGTGCAACAAAACATGAAATTCTCTAGAAGAGGGCGATAAAGCACCTGGCCATTTAATTGATAAAACGGTCTCGACTTCTTATGGCTAGACAATACTAGTCTATTTGCGAATATATCAGTAATCTAGCTAGAGATAATAAACAAAGAGACATGACAACATGATACAATATATAATCGTTTAAGCGAGTTTTAAAATAAGCACCTGTCGAATTATCTTTTATATGTACACTTAAATAATAAATTCATGACTATTTGAGGTTAGAGTCAAATTTCCCACTTTAAAACTGACCACAAGATAATTCGAATAATGTGGATTTTGTTGTGTTTTTGTTTTACTGTTTCTGTATTTGGACAATTTTCGGCCAATACCAACTACCAACAATGCGCCGCAAATTTAGCTTGTAGTATTAACTATGAGAAAACTTTTCAAGAAAAATTAAATAATCTGGGATACCATACGACACTCCAGATACAAACACTTAAACAGTCCATAGATTCACAAGTAACTCCACTTACACATGACTTAGAAATCCTGAAAACAAACACAACGGCGATCCAGGACGAGGTTACACGAGAGTTACAGCACGTTTTCCGTGGACTAGACCATGATAGAGCATTTCTTCATAACCTTAGTGTTGGTGTGTACAACCTGGCCAAAGAACTTCACCATGAACAGTACGTACGGTTTCAAGATGTCCATAAAATTATTGAAGAAGTTAATTTAGTTAAGCAGGCACTTGGTATGCTGAACAATCATTCGGATCTTTTACAAGCGGCTTCGTGCGAAGGTAAGAAATTATTTGTGACGGTAAACTGTCTTAAAGAAAAAAACTACATGTTGTAAATAAATGTAGAGAGAAAAATGATAAAAATGCTTGTTAATATCTTTTTATTACTTCTCAATGTTTATTTATCTAGTATTTATTTAATTATTGTGGTACACGGTTATTCATTTCCCTTTATAAACCTTGAAAAATGAGTATTCCTGAAAGTATTTCTAGTCTTCAGATTTCATTAAGAAACCAAAACGCAAGTGCTTAAGGTTTAAATACTTCGAAAGGTTCGTTTTGGTCGGTCTTTGGTTTTCTGTGTTGTGTTTTGTGTACTGTTGTTTTTATGTTGGTCGGTTTCTTTTTTTAGCTATGGCCTCTTCAGTTTATTTTCGACTTATGAGTTTGAATGTCCCTTTGGTATCTTTCGCCTCTCTTTTTTTTTAGCTTCTAGTGGTATTCGATAGTGAAGTGTATATGAATGTAACGACATGATTATTCGGGTTAATGTTTTAATAAAATATTGAGAGATCATATCTGTTTCCGTACAGACAATAAAAACTGAAAAATGATTGATTGGTTAATCTGAACCCGCAGATGAAATGGTTGATTGGTGTGATTCCGAAACCGACAAAACTGCATTTTAGATATCCCAGATTAGGGGGAGGGTTGGGTGCCCGTATACATGTGTAACCCCGCCACATTCTGTATGTGCCTGTCCCAAGTCAGGAGCCTAACTGTGGTTGTCGTTTGTCGCTGTATATCGTATAGGTATTTCGTTCATTGTTTTTTTAGATAAATCATGTCGTCAGTTTTCTCGTTTTAACTTGGTCTCTGGTGGAGAGTTGTCTCATTGGTAATTATACCACAGCTTCTTATTTTTATAATCATTTGCAAAGAACACCAAACAAATATGTTTCTAAGTGCGCATATTATATATATATATATATATATCGGTTAGAAGTTTGATAAAATTGTCATTAACTGCAATTTTAAATTTGTTTTCTTCATTATTTACTAGTAAAACTGAATGCTACCATGCACAATGCAACGTTTTACGAAAGTCAATACAGAAAAGTGTTATCGATGTACCATAATCTACAGACGACAGTTCATGACATCAGACAACAACAACAGGCGCTCCTTACTCAGCTGCAAGATAAAACGCGGGAAGCAATGCGTCTGCAGAAGCAGTCCCCACCTTCAAGTCCGCCACCAGCTGCCAAACTTTCGAGGTGAATTTCCTTATATTTACTTTTATTTTTATTCCCGGATAGATTTGAATTATTTTGTACCATCCTTATGCAATCGCGTTTTAAAACCGAATGCCAAACAGCACTGGATAATATATCTATAGTAATAAATATGACTCATGTGTCAAAACACAGTGAGGCCTGAAAATGAATAAAAGACTTTGCACAAGACAGGATGTTAATGAAAATTCTGCAATATGAAATGCAGGGTACTTGAGAATACAAATGTGTAGAAAAGTAAGAACAAAAAAGTAGGAATGCGTTGGCTAGAAGAATATCCGTTTACAATGAGCTGATTGTTGAGGCCGTACGGTGACATATATTGGCTTAAACCACGTCATTTAACCAACAATTGGTCACCGTACGAGGGTTTACAATGAGCCCATTATTGAAGGCCGTACGGTGACATATATTGGCTTAAACCACGTCATTTAACCAACAATTGGTCACCGTACGAGGGTTTACAATGAGCCCATTATTGAAGGCCGTACGGTGACATATATTGGCTTAAACCACGTCATTTAACCAACAATTGGTCACCGTACGAGGGTTTACAATGAGCCCATTATTGAAGGCCGTACGGTGACATATATTGGCTTAAACCACGTCATTTAACCAACAATTGGTCACCGTACGAGGGTTTACAATGAGCCCATTATTGAAGGCCGTACGGTGACATATATTGGCTAAATACCACGTCTTTAAATCAACAATAGGTCACCGTACTGCCTAAAACAATGAGTACATATCTATCGTAAAGTCAGCTATAATAGGCCGCGACATGGCAGCAGGTGAAACAATTCAAACGAAAACAAAAACAACAGTCTGATTAATGACTAAATAATTAAGCCAGATTATTGACTGACTTTTTTCTACAATCAATACCTTTCAAAGTAAAAACTCGATCTTAAAGAAAAATTAATGTCCTGGTTTGAAATAACTTTAAACTTCATTATATACCAAAATTAGAATTATGATAACATGATATAATTTACGAAAATGGTTCTAAAGTTTATTTTTGGTAGCAGAAGTGCTCATTGTGGTGAAGCACTTGGTATGGAAGATGGTACAGTCCTAGACGCTAGTGTATCCTCCAGTCAAAGCTTTGGAGATTTTAGTGCAGGAAATGCTCGACTTAATCATGCACGTGGGTGGTACACAGGAGCTAAGACAACATCAAAGGACTGGGTTCAAATTAACTTGAATTCTTCACATGTCATAACGGCTTTGGCAACTCAGGTAGTTTTAGTTATTTAAAGTCATATAAAAAAAGTTGAACATGTTTTATATATTTTAATGATTTTAATTATCTAAAGTCATATGGTATTTCAAATTTATCAGAAGAGTTGAACATGTTTTGTATACTTGAATGGCTAAGTTTTATTATAAAACAAGTGCGCATTTAAGGATATTTGCTACTCTGTTTCAAAATAACAAGCTTTTTAAAAGACTGTTAAAAATTGATAGTATATAAATGAAGGAATTTAAAAAGCAGAAAAAAAATAAAGGGTCCGCGTGCTTGTTTTCGAGAAATAAGACATTGAAAATTTGGCGGGAAATGATTCTCTCTAGATTTTTCATACATTTAACATTGGCACCTTTTTTCTTTAAAAAACAATGAAAAAATAACAAGAATTTTATAAGATTTTCAAATATGGCTTACTAAACTATATGTAATAAAATTATGAAAAAAAGGGAGGGGTTAGCGGGCAAAATTTTTAATGACACTACATGGATAAAACCAGAAGATTCCGAATATCTGGCAAAAAATTTAAAAAAAAAGAAGAACGAACATCCTTAAATGCTTAGATATGTACTGATATTGAATAAATGTCTTTCATTACTACAATACCCTTAAAACATACGGGAAAGAATGAAGAATATGAAGGAAAGAAAACAAACATCGCTCTCTAACATATCACTTATTTTGCACGTGCTCCATGAGTATGTGTTGATATGTTACTCAAGGTTACGATCGTTAAACTTTCATAAGTTAATTAGAAGCTAAATTTTACGCTCAACCTTCACCAAATGGAATATTATTAGTTGATTATTTATAATCAATTCGTATGAAATACTACATATATTTGATAACCGCAAAACACATACGACAAAGCATTAGCAATACAAGAAAGGAAAACATACAACACAAATGAAGCAAGAACGAAATTCAATACTGACTTGAATGATAAAACCTGTTTAAGAGTTTTTTTTTTAGATAAACAAGAAAACAGAGTCTTTAAAAACGAGTGTCTTTACATCGTTATTATATGCTACAATAGCGTTTCAATATCAATTTGTATATCAATGTCCATTGGATCCCTAAAAACATCGATTTTTTTGTTTGCGTTCAACAGGAAATTTGCCAAATCATTAAGGTTGTGCACAAAAGTGTTGTTGTTTTTTTTTTTTTAGTTTTTTAGTTTTTGGTTTTTGTGTGTGTGTGTGTGTGTGTGTTTTTTTTTTTTTTTTTTTTTTTTTTGTGGGGGGGGGGGAGTCACGTTTAGTATCGTGTCTAAGCAGTAAATGTGTTTTTGGATCTGCCTGCATTTGCCATTCGTAGCAGTATCAAATGCATGATAGTTTTGGTTTTACTCGCATTCTTTTTCCGCGCTATTCCAATACCCTATTATCGAATTTTGGTACACTTTTTATATATATATATATATATATATATATATATATATATATATATATAAGAGCATTTGTCTCGTCAAACTTACAGCACAATCTTAAGAAAAAGTGAAAGATACTTAAGGGATATTCAAACTCATAAGTCGAAAACAAACTGACAATGCTATGGCTAAAAATGAAAAATAAAGAACAAAAACTGTACACAAAACACAACATAGTAACTAAAGACGAGTTAGTATTTATATACTTATAACTGTATTTTTTTCATATAAGAAAAACAAAACGAATCAAAAAAAATTCTTTGAGAAAAGTTAAGGACATATATAAAACTTTGCTTTGATTTTTAGGGAGCGCCCTGTTGTGAAGTATGGGTTACCAATTTTACCGTATACTACTCCATTGATGGAAATCACTGGCACGAACACAAAACTGACTGTAATTCACAGGTTTGTATATATATATATATATAGAAACATATGAAAACAATCATGAAGGAGAACATTTTTTTTTTTTATTAAAGAGCAATACGGAACGAATCGTATTACATTTCATATTGATGTATTTATATATTACGGATTTGAAGATTTGTTTAATATAAATTATTTCAATAATTTTTGCGGGGACATCGGGATATACTATGAGCACGTTTATGTGTACGTTTGTATGTTTTGTCTATTTTTATTTATTCATTTATTTATTTATTTTATCTATTTATTTGCTGCCTTGTTCAAGGCGTACAACGCAGTTGGATAGCAGACACATTGTAAATATACCATACAGAAGACACATTTCAAATATATCAATGTGTCAATTTTAAAGCTTGGCAGTATACCATAAACGGACACACACACTGGTGTCGTTTCATTCCCTTATTTGCAATCACCCCACAAGAAAATAATGTTTGATCAATAGAATTACCTGAAACATTCGAGCGGAGGTAACCTTTTTATAAACAATGATCATATACGGTCTTTAATATCGCATGGTTTATCTTGATAAGGTTTCACTGTCGATCATATTCTTTAATACTCAATACCCCATACCCTAAAGTTTAATGCATTGAATTTTGGTAGTGAATTAAGACCAAATTACAGGTTTCCCCATTTATTCTACAGGGACGATCAAAATATCTGAGTAAAATAAAAAAAAATGGGTTTGCCTAAACACATGCCAAAGTTTACCTGGCTTATCTGAACATTGATAATAATAATGTTTCTTTTATAGGACTTCGTTGGAAACACTGATCAGACAACGATAAAATATCAGACTCTAGATCCACCAATGGTAGCAAAGTATGTGAGAATAAACATCATAGACTTCCACAAGAAGAATAACAGCAATTCTAACTACATCGGAATGAGGACGGAGTTATATGGCTGTCCTGTATCTGTCCCGAAGATAACACAACCTCATTAATAAATTTATGGTTGTCGACTTTAGATTTTGTTCACTTGTTTGGCTCCGCAATGAAACCACCAGACTTTTGTCCGCCTGTCTCTTACATGGCACGTGACTTGTCTGACCAACGCCTTCTTCAAGTTTCAATCTTTTTCTTTTACATTATGTTAATTGATACAATTGTACATGCATGATTTGTCCGGCTAACGCTTCTTCCAGTTTTTAAGCTAGAACTTTTATATTTCGCATCTTTTTGTACATATACATGATATACTACGAGTGTGAATGTTGAAATTTGTCATTTTTGATGAAATTGTATAGGGTGTACGGTTTCTCCGTCTAACTTCTTCAAGCTTCATTCCAATCAAATTAAAATCTCCGCACTCGCTCATATTCATTTACCATTGTTTATTAATGCTAGTCGTTAATCAATTCATTAAACACTTTTGTACATTTTGGGTTAAAGCTCAGACATTTTCACCATTTATTTAGGGGAAAAAAACGACCAAAAGATAAATAACAGTATACAAAACACAACCTAGAAAACTAAAGACCGAGCAGCACGAACCCCGCCAAAACCAGGAGTGGTCTCAGGTGCTCCGGAGGGAGAGATCAGAACGGTTCAATCTGCTCCACATGTTGCACCCGTCGTGTTGCTCGTGTAAGTACAAACCCGGTGATACTATTAAGTCTATTTCGGTAGGTCACACCCGAGGAGACGAGGAGGTCATTGTGATTGCAACAATTGGAGCATATCTGTCGTCATCTGTAAAACAGATAGTCTATAACATTCAACCAACTCGTTCGAGAATAATAAAGATCAATCTTCCTAATTCAAAGTTTACCTTATAAATTTTCCTTTTCTATTCTTTGTGGTCAAGTAGCATTCCATGATTTCAAAATTTGGTTTTGAGCGTTCCTGTTAAAGATAAATTTAGGAAAGCACTTTGAACACACCAAATTTATAAAGTGGTACTTTCTTTAGATCCGCTAACCATGTATTGTTATATATTTGGTTTTATTCTACAGTCGTTGGTTGTGGACAAAATAATCACCATTCGAATGTCCTAGTGTAATATAATCTCATTGGTAGGTTTTGGTTTTTAATTCCGTACACAATTTCTTACAGATGTACTAAAACCAACTAACATGAGGGTCTTTATTTCTGTATTCTTGATATGTAATTGTTATCTCATTTTTCGTTATATTTAAGCACACCATTTATCGCTGTTCTTTACTTTTAGCCTATTCCTCACTATTGATATAGTTTTGGGGCCTATCATTCTCTATCTATTCTATAAAACCCATCCCGAACCTCTTAAATTTATATACATTTTGATAGTAAAAGAAAGAAAGAAATATAGATAACACAGAATGTCAATGATATAAAACAAAACAAAGGTCATGCAACGTAATTAAGGCAAAACATACACACTAAAAACTATATAAAGTATAAAGCAAACAAGATTGAAATACAACCAGAAGTCCTTGAGCGACTAAATTGGACCGGTTTTGTTTTTGTTATTTGTTTTTGGCACAATGAAATCGACAGCTAGGAGAAATAAAATGAAAACTATTGACCCTGATTGCCACCACGATATCTTATTTCCCCATCACCACTCCATACTTTCGACACAACGCTTCAAAATAACAGACAAGAAAATAAATCAAGAACAAACACATAAAACTAACTAGCATATGAGGTTCAGTTTACAGATCAAGGTGGTACAAAGGTCAAATTGTCGGTGTTTATATTGTTTTCCACGTCGGTGATGACAATACATGTATATTTACTTATGTCTAATAAATCATCCCGTATAAAAGGGAACTCGGTGTTGATGTTCAGTTACTAAAGTATTCACATTTTTTCTACAATCGGACAAAGTTACACTCATTCTATAGATCCTGAACTATTTATACACGTATTGACACTCATACCACATCTTATTTATATGTAGTCAAGTTCTTTCGGCCATTCGTATTGTATGATTTCATGTTTTTGAATAGATCACTTTCGAGTTATGTCCTTCACCGTAAATTTGATCAAATATGCACGCCTTTATTTAATTTTGACTAATTCGTGCATTATAGCATATTTTTTCAACCTCTCGCTCAACATGAGAAGGAATTGACGATGCCCCTAAACGCACGAATGATGTTCACTTGAACCAAAGTTTTTGACGGAAATGCAACGAACTCCAAAGTGGTCTATTGTGAAATATGAATGTACAGCATGTTCTTTGCACATGATTATCCTATCAATTACTTTCAGATCAAAGCAAAGAATTTCAACAAATGAGTTACAACTGCCCTGAACCACATTTACCAGTGTATGTGATATCTGTTAAAAGATGAACTTTGAAACAAACCAAAAGATCAAAAGCAGGTTAAAGTTAATGTGAATATTAGGCCGTCAGTTTTCTCAATTGAATTGTTTCATATTTTTCATTTCGGGGCCTTTTATAGCCGACCATACGGTATGGGTTTTTCTCATTGTTGAAGGCCGTACGGGTTGCCTTTAATTGCGTAAATCCACTTCATTTATACTTTGGTGGATAGTTGTCTCAGTGGCAATCATACCACATCTCCTTATTTTTATATTGATAACTTCAAATTTAATAAAACTAAAACAATATAAAAGGGAGGGTGAAAACTCACATTACCTTAAAATTTAGCTTATCCTTTTGTTCTAGTCTTTAGTCAGAATACCGAAGTATAAATATAAACCAATTTGCAACAAGTTTTGTTCATATTGATTCAAATTAGCTGGACTATATTTAGCACAGTCAAATCAATACAAAAATACTTAATATTGCATTTGATTTGCATATTATGCACATCTCAAATATAAAATTGAGAATGGAAATTGGGAATGTGTCAAAGAGATAACAACCTGACCAAAGAGCAGAAAACAGCCGAAGGCCACCAATAGATTGTTTATCCTAATTCATCAAAATTTGAAGAGACAACACTAAGAAAGGGTACAAAACCAACAATGAAAAGCCTGTTCATGCATCTGGAGGATTTTACACATTTAACAACTTTTATTTGAAAGAATTAAAACATTTGTATATCATGTTATTTCTAAAGCGCTGGGTTATGCATAGTTTATTAGTACCTTTATATGCTGCACATGCTAAATTCAATATCTTTGATTCTGATTCAGCGCAATAACCAAACGCGATCATCATAAAACAAGTGTACTGTGCTCCAAATCGATTACAACGAATTTTAATTCAAAATTCAGGAACTGTACTATTGTAAACAGAACCATAAGTACATCGACGATAAAGTCACTCTAAAACAAATTTTGGTCTAACCAACACAATTTCAGTACCGCGGTAACATAAAGATTCGATCAAGTGTTACGATGGTCTTGATGGGGGCCCTTTATTTCTTTAATCCTTATTTTTTTCTTTATTTTTTATTAAATTTGCGCATTATTCATTATTCTTTATATTTCAGCATCCTATTATTCTGTATTCTTTATTTTTGTTTGCTTATTTTTCTCTATTTTTTGTCATTTATTCCACACTTTTTGCGCACTATTCTCTATTCTGTAAACCCATCCAGACCCTCTTTTACTGTAGATGTAGTAAATTTACAAAAGGCAGATAAAGGTTAGCCATTTCATATAATATTGATACCACCACGACATGTTTGACATACTACGAGTTATAAGGAGATAAACGAGAGGTCATGTTCCTACTTATTGTATATCTTGTTTTTACAACTGGTGTTTTTGGATTTCCATGGTTTAGAAATGATATTCCAAATGGATACAAAGTACCAGACCCTTGTACTGGAAAGCCTGGTCAAATATGGGAGGGAGTAGGACACGATCAGGAACCAGGAGGAGGACCAAGAAATCCATTTGGACTGGTAACTTTTTGTTGTTCATCCTAGGATTATTATTGTTACACACTGTAGAAAACATGTTTACATTCTCGATCGTTTATTGTCCAATGGTGGATAGTAACTGTTGTCTCGTTCACCATGTTGACAATCTTGTTTACCTCATATCCCAATTCGTAAACACATGAGATAAAGTTAATATCTAGGACCTATTTATATACACAGGTAAAATACATTAATTTTTAAGGTATGTAATATACATATTAGTGTATTCAGTATATATACATACGTTAACAAAATTCTCGTCTTATACCTGAATATATATTAGTCCCAGTTGATATGTTTATTAAGTTACTGCTTTTCGTTCAGATATTCGTTAAATAATTAAAAATGGAACTTATTTTTGACTAATAGGCTGTTTTTTTTTAATATATGCCTTAGGGTTTTATAATCGTGTTATTTCTGTAAAACAACAAACAAATGTATTGCGGCAAACCGCTGGTCTTTCGTCCGTCCGTTCCTTAGAACCATATCTAATCTCCAACTGAAGAAAATTACCACGTGGTCTGAGCATCCTGATACGTTTTGAAGATTTTGTCTACAATTTTACCTTATCGGGCATGCATTGCAAATAATGAAAATTTCCAACCACCCTACGAAAATGAAATAGAAGTAAGTCGTGATTTACAGTTTGAGCTTTCTTAAAAAATATACTGTGCTTTAACTATACACGTAACCTGTCGGCTATTACCATGATTACTTCATGTAAGAAGTCACGGAAAACTCACTGCTATTTACAAGTCCACACATTAAAATAATGTTAAACATAATATAGGAACAAGAAAGTTACCATAAAAAAACTTACAAAACTCAAAAGAGTCCATACACTTATTCGATAAATGCAATATTTCTTGACAAATTTAAATAATATTCCTTGATCCGAAGCAATGGTAATTTATTTTGTTACATTTTACGTTGAAAACATTTTAAACAACTCTGCTTTGTGTCTTTATCGACTGATCTGAACTGTATTAAATTTGCTTCTTTACTCCTTACAGGATTTTAAAACCGTAGGCTTTAAATGGACGAAAGAACTCTGTCAAAAAGATTCAGACAAAGATGGACGTACAAATGGTGAGGAACTTGGCGACCCGGGTTGCACGTGGACAAAAGGTGGAACTCCTAGTGCCGCTGCCTCTGGACATCCAGGTGGGTTTCACGCTTATCTTGAAAATTAACCTTTTCTTCCACCATGTTTGTCAACTATAGAAAATATTTCCGAATACTGTTCAACAAAGGCACAGGCGCGGAGACGTCAGACGGTGGCGCAACCGGTGCATTACGTTTGCGCGCATTACCATTACATTTGCGCGCAAAAATCATTACGTTTTCGCGGTGTCTCCCTTAAACAAAAAAAAAGTAAAGTATAATAGGTAAAGTTATAGCTAGTTTTTTTTGTCAAAATATTGTCCTCTAATTCCTAATTTTCTTGAACGCCACTGTGTGACCTCCCCACAAACATTAAATCCCGGATTCGCGCCTGAAATAACAATTATTTATGAAACATCTAGCAACTTGCTAACAATCAACTGTTAAATAAATGTTTAGAAAATTTATTATTAAAGAAGCAATATGAAAGGAAAATTTTGATGGACATTTTAACCGATAACCCATAATGCTTCATGTCACTTTTATTTCTGATTTAGGACAGTGTATATATATCATCCAGTAGTAAGTTACTAGTAATGTTGGAAGTTATGACAAATTGTTCATTTTTGTTAATTTTAGGTATTTGTGAACCAATGAGTAACTCCAGTTGTGTAACAGTAAATAAAGATATAAAATGTCTATCTAACACAGGATAATGATGCTTGTTTGGTCAGTGTGTGTGGCATTCTCTTCGAAGTTGAAAATCTAGAGCATTAGTCACTTATCAGCTATTGAATGTGCACAATATGAAATAAAAATGTTATTAAACTTTTTTTTGTATTAAATGCAAGTTTTCTTTCTTGTAAGTTTAATGTATGTTATATTCTATCAAATCATGCCAAAAATAATTTGCACCACTGATGAGAAATAAAATGGGACGAGAAAGTACCAAGGACCACCAACCATAAGTCGAAAAAGACAACTCCATGGACAAAAGAAAAAAGAAACGATACACCAAATAACATTCCACAAAACACTACGCAAAAAAATATTTCGCAACAAAAACCCAACCAGAACCGCCATACCTGTTCTACTAGTGGCATTATATATAGTCGTGTTGTTTATTTCAAGTACACAATAATTGATAAATCGCACTAGATGATTTCACCACAATTGAGGAAAAAAGACGTAATACTTGCATCAAGTGGAACATTCGTGATTGTTTGTAACACATACACCTCATAACAGTCAATATAATCTCTAATTTCCTTAATTGTGGTGACATACATATCTTAATGGTGTCCGTGGACCCCTTGTCTCAATGACAATCCTATATGAATGAAATTATGATAGAGAACGAAAACGCAGAATATAGGTGTATCACATACGCTTCCCATTATCCATAAATATAGTGCACACGCTGAAATGTCTCGCCTGTTTTACTTATTATGATTGAATTTATGTTAAAAGTCTGTAATATTAAGGTTTTACCAGTCTAAATAAAGGTAACAGTAGTATACCACTGTTCAAAAGTCATAAATCGATTAAGGGAAAACAAATCCGGGTTACAAACTAAGAGTATCACATAAACTTAACATTATCAATGATGTATGAAAATGTCATGGTCAGATAAACTATGCCAGACAGACATGTACACCTTACAATAATTACGTGCACCACATATAGTGGTCATATCACTTATAGTACCTAACAAGAACAACAGATCAAACCACAAAATCTTAGCATTAACCAATGAACCATAAAAATTAGGTCACGGTAATATGAATTCTGCCAGACAGACATGAACAGCTTACAATGGTCTACAATCATTCTATACACCAAATATAATTGACCTACTGTTTATAGTATCTGAGAAATAGACCAAATCACAAATACTTAACACTGTCCAATGAACCATGAAAATGAGGTCAAGGTCCGATGAAACCTGCCAGTCGGACATGTACACTTACAATCATTCCATACATCAAATATAGTTGACCTATTGCTTACAGTATCTGAGGTACGGACTTGACCACGTAACTTTAACCATGATCACTGATCCATGATTTGAGGTCGAGGTTTGGTGAACCCTACCTGACGAACATAAAGACGTTGCAAGGAACCCATATACCAAATATAGTTATCATATTACTCATAATAAGTGAGTATTTCACCTTACAAAAAAAACAGTCACTGAACCATGAAATGAGGTCAAGGACAACGGACATATGACAGACGGAAATTACGTAACATAAGGTACCTTGTATCTGCATACAAGATATGAATCATCCAGGTATTCTACCTTCTAAAATATAAAGCTCTATGCAAATAGTTTACGCCGTTGCCGCCGACTCCGCCGTCGGATTGTAATCCCTATGTCTCGCATACAAAAACCACTGACTTGATACAGACACAATGATAATGGTTGTATCTGATACAATTTAGGATGACATCTATCATTTTAGGAAGCTACCATTTGATTTTTATGGGGGGCGGGGGGCTAGGATGAAATTTGAAAAAAAGGCAGGACAGGAGTTTTGAATAAAAAAAAATTTGTAAACAATTTATGTAAAAAAAGTCAGGATAAACTAATACAAAAAAAGGCAGGACCGAATAGAGTGAAAAATAAAAAGGCAGGACAGAGATTACAACTAAAATAAAATGCAGGACAACATTTTTCATCTTAGCCCCCCCCCCCCCCCCCCCCATAAAAATCAAATGGTATTTTTTTAATTAAAGGAGTAGGGGCTATAATGGCATAAAATGGCCCCAGATTTACAAAATAATAAAAATTTAAACCGAGCAGATTTTTCTCCAGTAATTATTAGAGTGCGAGTCAATGATTTAAATAACACTGTTTTTATCTCACAAAAAATATTTAAAGACGTCACAATGGTAGTTGTAAATAACGTCATACTCGGGGAAAATGAGCAAAAATACAGAAATTGGGATGGTTTTCCTACATTTTGACCACCGCACTATGCTTGCATCAATTTGAAATTTTAACAGTTGGACAAGTTCATACATATCAAACTTCAGATAAAAGAATCGTTTTTGGTGCAAGGTTGGTGCGATAGTTTCTTTTATATTTTTTCATAGCCAAGCAGAGCAATAAAAGTCTGAAATTTGCCATTAAATTGGACCTATTCTTCTGACAAAGCTTAATTTATACATTCTTATGCCTATATGAATTTTACTTTTTCGCTTATGAATCGGTAACATGTATTTCTATTATTATTTTCGTAAGTATACCTAGTTTAACTTTAAAAAAAAGCAAAAGAAATGAAATACATATAATGTAAGGGCGTCAACGATAATTTTGAGGAAAACAGTTTTTTTTTTTGAAATATGAAATTTTAGATAGACATATAATATAACAAAATCTGATCATTTCTTATGTTAATGCTAATCTTAATTCAAAATTTGGTGTTCGAAATGGGACAGTCTTCTCTGGTATTAGGGTCGGATCAGGATTTATAAAAAGGGGATGAGGGGTATAATTCCAGAAAACAAAATATACCGAAAAAACATTTAAAAGATTTAATGCTTAAATTTACATAATTGGTGTGAAACATGAGATTTATTTATTGGCGATCAAAATATGGAGGGAGCATGTGCCTTTACACTAGCACCTTGGATTAGCCACTTGGTAATCATCATTTTCAGCATTTTTGGTTAATGATGTGAGATCTGAATTTGTTTTACATTTATAGAACTAAAGATGAGACTAATACACAAAAACGTGTTTTAAACCAAAAAAAAAATGTGTAGTTTCAAGTTATACATATATGTTTAAGGAGACATAGAAATGGTGAAGTATTTATTTTTATATTTTAATCTATATTAGCCATGTTGAAAGATATTAGGTCAAACTCAACTTATAATATCATGAATGCTTTCGTCATCCAGAAGTTTAAATTTCTGTTTAATAACGACTTTTTGAGCTATAAACAATATATGTATCATCCTGGGACATGAATAGTCAACGGAATCGACAGATACAAAATTAGAGAAAAACAGTACCCAACACAAATAAACTGTTGATACAGAGATATGTCTCGCCTTTTTGTAATTTTTATAATATAAAATCAATGGCAATATTTAAATATATAAAATATCCGAAACATTCAAAGTAAATGAACCATGACTTAAGATGCAGGACCAAATAACCTCCATGGAAATGAGAAATCCAAATGCTTATAAAACTGCATACCAAATACCATTGACTTATCATAAGTGATTCCCTTATCACTAATCTAAACACAAACTTTAACTTGTAAACAATGTAAAAATTTAAAAGTCAATATACCGTGGGGCCATATAATCTTCATAGAAAAGAAGACTTGCAAATGCTAATACTATCATTAACTTAACATCAGTGGTTTCTCTTCAACTAATCTAATCACAATATTTAACATGTAAACTATGTAAAACATTCAAAGTCAATAGACGATGACTGAGAGAGTGGGCCCGAATAAACTCAATGAACATGATATTTGTCAATGTTAATTCAACTGCAAGCCAAATATCATTGACCTACCACTAGTGGTTCCCCTTTAACTGACCTAATCACAAACTAATACATGTTAAATAAGCAAAAGTTTCAAAGTCAATAGACCATGACGGAGGGGGACGGGCCAAATAATCTCCATGGAAATGAGATGTGCCAATGCTAATACAGCTGCATAACAAATATCACTGACCTACCACTATTGGTTCTCCATAAACTGACATAATCACAAACTAACACATTGTTGATGCAGCATAACTAAGTCTCGCTTTTTGACTCCGTCAAGGTGAGACAAAAACTCTTTCTCCTACCAAAATGTCCATTCAGATTCGGTTAGATAGTGGTTCGCATAAACATGTTGATAAACAAATAGGTTAAACGAGGGAAAGTTATCTTATGGGAGTTATGCGAAAACTGTCCATGGGACACAGATGCCCCCGCTTGTAAATATGCAAGAGTCAATGTACTTTGTTTTAAACTTGATGACATTTGTTTCTTTATGTTGTCATTAGAGATTACTCGCGGGTTTGATTGCTCTCATTGTTCAATAACAAACAGTAATGGGGTTACTCAAGAACAGTGGCAAATGATGCCACCTTAATTCGAACTGCATCTGTGTTTGGTGGCAATAAGTTTCATAACATTTGGTTGAGGCCAAGTAAAGTTAGAGCGAAAACGGCAATTTCATCATTTTTTTTCATTTATAAATAGCCAAACCTCACCAAAATTCGAATTTGATAATTATGTGTTTGGTGATAATAAGCATTGAGTACAAGTTTCATAACTTTCGGTTGTGACAAAGTAAAGTTAAGAGAACAGAAACCGCAAATTTGCTGATTTTTCCATTTATAAAGGGACATTACTCCAGAACAGTGCAAGTGATGCCAACCATATTCTAACTTGATCTGTGTTTGGTGGTAATTAGGATTGTTTATAAGTTTCAGAACATTCGGTTGTGGCAAAATTAAGTTAATTAGAGAACAGAAACCAATATCGGGACGTACGGATGAACAAGGGTAAACCGAATTACCCCCTCCCCCACGGCGGGGGCATTAAAAACTTTAAAGGACACCACCCAGCACTAAAGACAAAATCTGTTTTTGCAATGATACCTGGTACAATTCAAAGAATATATAAGGTGTACACGTATTAATTCATGAAAAAATGTAATAACCAGCAATTTCACCATAAGGGAAATGGTATATTTTTTTTCTCAACAGATGGACTCTAAGTGCATTTTGTTACCACATTCTCTTGAAAAATTACATTTGTTTGTCTGTAGTTTTTTGATATTTCAGCATTTATTTTTATCCTTGGCA